ATATTTAGATATTTATAATGATGACGATGATGACGAATTCTTAATTTAATTAATGAATTAATCATTTTATTGGTTTATTAGGAGCGATACAATAAAGTTTCGTTTATTTGATTTGATATCACAAATTTCAACTTCCTCTGAAGAATCATTTAATTTATGTGAATCTTCTGGGGCACTTGATGCAATAACTTCTGAAATAAATTCAAATGATTTGTTAATTAAATTGAATGCCATAGAAACTTTATCAAGAGTATTAATTAATTATCATACTATGAATTTCATATTCTTTACATATCCATCCATCTATGTTCTCATATATATATATTCATATATGTTTATTTAGATTGGTCAAAGTAAATCTGGATATATATTTTTGGAAAAAGCAGGAATATTACAATCATTTGTCGATACATTGTCAAGAAATGAAGATCAAAATGTAGTATTAACTCTAGTAAAATGTGCTGTATTAAAATTTTTTGGTAAATTATCTGAAGTAAAGGTAAATAAGAAATTTATTAAATCAAAAAAAATTATATTTATTTATTTGTTTATTGAAAGATAATATAAATCTAAGATATTTATATTTATAATTATATATATGTAGGAGGTAGATTTTATGCAAGTTGAAAATAAATATAGGATTTTAACATATATTAGTTCACACCTATTTGACAATAACACGGATATAAAGGTAAAATCATTAATTAAATTTAATATAATATAACTATTAATTTAATTATTCAATTCCATATTCTGTTGTTGTTGATGATGATGATGCTGATATGATAAATGATTGATTTAAAGATAACTGCAATAAATATTATTGGAGTGATTGGCAATAATGAACGTGGACTTAAACTTTTATATAACAACAACACTACATCAAACATAATTGGTAATTTTATTGAAGTTTATCAAAATTCAACAAATGATGTAAAACTGACATGTTTACAAACTTTATCGTGTTTATTTGGAGCAAGGTAAGCACATATACACACATATATGAGTGTTATGGGTTTAAGAATAAATTTTAAAAAAATTACCTAATAATAATAGTGAGAACCCTACACCGGAAACATCTGATATTGTAGAACGTATATATCGTCAATTGGAAGGTAGCTGTTACTTCATGTACTCACATCTTTATATTCACGCTTATATTTATTTTAAATTTATCATCATAATAATATAATATTAATAATAATAAATTTGTTGCTTGTTCAGGTATTCCATCACACCTCAATACATTAATTACATATGCCAAGAAAAATATTGAAGAATTACGTATTGCAACTTTTGCAGTGATGCAAAAGATGGCATTACATCCATGGGGAAAATCTGAAATGACTACTAATTCAAAAGAATTCATTGACTACATTCTAAACCGCACGACTGAATCTACACAAAAAGCTAAAGGATGGAAATACTCAATTGTGCAAACATTGGTAAAGTCATCTGAAACAACAACCTATCGCATTCCTCCAAATATTATGGAGCGGTTAGTAAAATATTTGAATGAAGGACCGTTCTTTGTTAGAACTGAGGCTTCTGTTGCATTACAAAGTGCCTAATATTAATACATACATAATACGTACGTATATATATATAATATTTATTTTATTAAAAAATGTAAAATTTATAATGTACAATATAATTATTAAAAAATACTTATTATATATATATATATATATTATAACAACACAATAACACAATGATTATTATTTTATTTTTTGCTAATAATTTAAAATTTAGAAATTTTAAGAATGCATTAATTGTT